CTGGGACTTGTAGGCCGCAAGCCCTGAAGCCAACCGTCCTGGTCACCAGCAGCAGTGTGCTACCCAGGGGAAACTGAGGCCCCGGGAAGGCACCCAGGTGGCTCAAGACTTCAGGGCCAGGCAGTCTCGGCCCTCTAGGATTAAGTCAAGAACGCACTTGAACCAGTTTTCAAAAGACGCTTCGTAAGGGGTGTTTGGTCGGGAGCTCTCTTTACATCCCACCATGGATTCAACAGTCATCCCTGAAGGCAGGCCCCTCTTGCCAAGCCCGAGAGCTCGAGGGGAACCTGCAAGAGCCCTGCTGTCAGGGAGCTCACTCAGCAGCGTCAGGAGACCCTGAGATCAGGAGGGAGGCACGGTTAGGTAGTGTTAGGAAAGCAAACCAAACAGCAAAGGAATTGTGATGCAAGGAGCGCAAAGGCTTTGAGAAAGCAGGGCTGTGAAGGAGGTATCCCAGCAGGCTTGCAGGCGGGCGAGCGGGCAAGCGGGCGGGCGTGGGGAAGGCTCCTGCCTAGGTGGAGTCAAGCTTCACTGGCAAGGGGCCGACTGTGTAAGCACTGGGTACGGTTGAGCGTACCAGGAGGCTGCCTGTCTCACTGTCCCCCTTGTCCATTGGCTGGGCCAGTTGTAGCCCCACTAAAAGTTGCAGGTTCTCAGGTTCCAGAGATGAGGACATGGGGGGCGCTGGGTGAGACGGCTGCTTCCTGGCCCAGCGGTTAAGGCATCGCGCCGGCTTCTGTGCTGAGCTCCTAATTTATTTTTTATGTCTCACAGGCTGGCTTCTGGCCTTCTGTGTAGCAGGGGGTGGACCTGTAATCCTCTCAGTTCCCAAGTATTAGAATCAGTGCCGCACCACACTGAATTTGCATCTCTTCAACACGGGCAGGGGCCGGGGAAGAACGTTTGCATTTGCCCTGAGTATACACATGGCATGCTATACTGTCTTATTTTCCTGCTAAGGGCGGTCCCATGGGAGTCTCCATGCCAGTGACAAAGGAGCCCAGCCCCCCCCCCCCATGGCCTCCATCAGGCTGTAAAACATATATTCACTGTGGAATATATAGGGCCTCGTTTCCACAGAAGCCCTAGGGTCCCAAGGGTATGCTTCTGCTGAAGCCCCAGCATAAAGTTTTGGGGGACATCCCAGGTCCCCAAAAGTAATTATGCGAATTATCTCTATATGTCTGGCAAAATCCACTTTGCATTTTGCTTTTACTGAGATTTAGCCCAGCTGGTCTCAAACTTACTACATAAGTAAGTTTGAACTTCTGATCCTCCTTCCACCCTTTCCTGAGTGTTGGGTTTACAGGTGTGTGTCTTCAGCCAGGTTTAGATGATGCTGGGATCAAATGTCAGGTTTCACACATGACCTTACACATGGGACTTTTTAACAGGTACGTTTCACCTCTACTCGCTCCGGCGTAAACCACTGACTCAAGCAGCGCATAAAATCTACGGGACCCTGCGTCGGGAGAAACGGGCTGATAACCGCGAATACACAGGAGCCAAGCCGACTCGCTGGGCCCACGTCCAGGCACGTGGGGCGTGTCTAGGACTACATTTCCCGGCGCCCCCCGCTATCGGGGGCGTGTCTGAAACAGGGGGCGTGGCCGCTGGGCGTGGCCGGCTACAAAGGCGGCCGGCAGCCCGCGGGGCTCAGAGTAGGCGCGTCGCGGCGG